ATAAACTAAGCCCAGCTTTCTGTCTCTCAGCACTCAGACATAACCCCTCTGCCTGAGCAAAACAGTTTTCTCTGTTCTTGAACAGAGCTGTGATTCCTTGCCTCCATGTTGTTGCGCATTCCTTTTCTCCAGCATGGAACAGCCTCCCTCCTTGGCCAATTACTGAGAGGCCGTGTGTCTAGTGGTTAAGAGCCCCAGCCTGGATGTCCAAATGGCCTCCATTAATCTCCTGGCTCCCTAACTTCCTGGCCAGATGACCTTGAGCAGCTTTTATTCCTATTCTATGTGCTTCGCAAGCACTTACTCTTATTACCGTTCGAGGAAAATCCATTTTACAATGATAATCTATTGATTCAGGAGGTGTTTAATTACTTTTTAGTTAATTGATATTTTACTATAATGTGTGAACCAAAACTCAAAACAAAATTAAATTTTTTCTTATCTCTGTTGTCCCAGTACATTTTATGTTTTTGTTTGTTTGTTTGTTTTTGCTAAAGAACATCAGACTCATCAGGAACTTCATCAGGAATTTGACAACCTTCTACTTACTTTCAAGGCTAATTCCTTTATGTTCTTACTCTGCACAAAGCTAATCTAATTACTCTTTCTCAGGTCACCTGAGAACAATGACCCAGCTCTCAGATTAGCCAAAGCAGGACACAGGTGACCCAACTATGGGAGGGCAAGGGCTCTGCACTGGAGAGGTTCGGGGTGTCAGCCTCAGGAACCCAACAAAAAAGGTAGAATCAAGTCAAAGAGAAATGACCTAGGCCACAGAATTGTCAACAAATCAATAAAGAAAGTTTGCTTTACTCCCCCCCAAACATGGAAATATGAAACAGGCAAGACACCACAACAAAGTGGGCCCCACCCTGGTTCCACCCTCTTCTGCTCTATCTGGTCTGTTCCTTGCAAGCACTGCAAAAGCTTTTGGCTAAAGTTAGCCTCAATTTAAACGCACAGAAACAAGTTTACACCAAAGTCTACATCTCTTCCTATCTCTGAACCTGGAGTCCCGTGACCAGAGAACATGGGTCACCCTCAGGAGCCAATCTTTGCATCACCCTCTTCTCCTCCACTCACCTCTCTACTCACCTGTGCCCTTCTACCCTCTTCCTCCAAACTGCTCTGCCTTTTTTTATAGTTGATATACAGTATTTTATTAGATTCAGGGGTACAACATAGTGATTTGACAATTCTATACATTACAAAATGCTCACCACAATAAGTGTCGTCCCCATCTGTGTCCATACAACGTTATTACAATATTATTGACTATATTCCCTATGCCGTAGTATTCATCTCCGTAGATGGAACTGGAGCTTTGTACCTCTGAATCCCCTTCATCTGTTTTACCCATCCCCCACCTCCTCCCTTCTGGCAACCCTCAGGTCTCTGTATTTATTAGTCTGTTTCTGTTTTCTTATTTGTTTGTTTGTTTATTGGTTTTGTTTTTTTAAATTCCACTTATAAGTGAAACCATATATTTGTCTTTATCTGACTTACTTCACTTGTCATAATACACTCTAGTCCATCCATATTGTTGCGAATGGCAAGATCTCATTTTTTTTTTAGCTGAATAATATTCCATCCTTGTGAGAAAGCAAGCAGGAGAGAAGAGATTGAGAAGGGGATTTGAGAATGACAAGGGGAAGAAATAAAAATCTGTCTCTCTCTACTGTCAAGATAGACTCCTGCTTCCAAGGATAAAATTGATATTATTCAGCATGTTTTGGGGACTATAGAGGCAAAGCACAGAAATTAAAAATACAAGACAGCTTCCCATTTCTAGGGGGAAAAAAGCAAATTACAAGAAAGTTAACCCATATACAGAAAGTATTTTTAAAATATATTTTTGGTCCATCTCCTAAGGAAGGTGTTATTCATCTCTAACTTCTATACGGTTGACTCAGAACTTCTCTGACAGTGTCATTCTGTTTATGGTGGCTATATGGTGGACAGAATAATGCCCCTCAAAGTTGTGCATATCCCAAACCTGTGACTGTGAATATGTTCTCTTACCTAGCAAAATGGAATGTGCAGATGAAACTAAGGATATTGAGATATGGAGAATATCCTGGATTATCCAGGTGGACCCAATGTAATCATAAGGGTCCCTATAAGTGAAAGAGGGAGGCAGGAGTCTGTGTCAATGATGCAGCATGAGGATAGCTTGACCATCCATCGCTGGCTTTGAAGTTAAAGGAAAAGTCAAGAGAAACAGGTAGCCTCCAGAAGCTGGAAGAGGTAAGGAAACAGATTTTCAGCTAGAGCTTTCAGAAGGAATACAGCCCTGCTGACACTTGATTTTAGCCCAGTAAAACCCATTCAGACTGATCCCGCCACTAGAATTGTAAGATAATTTTTGTTGTTTTAAACCACTAAATTTGTGGTGATTTGTTACAGCAGCAGTAGAAAACTAATACAGTGACTGTAAAAATGTTTCCAGAGTACACTCATACCTGTCAGTGCATGTTTTTTGGCTTTGAGTTAATGTCACCACTGCCGTAGCTATCATAGAATAATCACTAAGAGTCTTGATGATGACCTTGAGTCATTACTAGACCCTCAACCATAAGTGAAAGAATAAGCAGTTGTAACCCCAGTAGTATTCATACTTATTCATGGAAGACATATAAGCCATGCCCCAAATAGACAGTGTGATCAAGCATAAAACAAGAGCCTGGAAAAATTCATGAAATGGTTGTTAATTTTAGATTCTAGCTACACTTGAGCGGCTCAGAGACCACAAACCCCAGATCCCTGGTACACTGGTCATCACTCCTTTCACTCTCCTGTGTCTCCTGTTAAGGACAGCAGGTTTTGTTTGAAGGCAACGACCTTGAGGGGGAGGGCAGAGGAGAAGGGGGTAGATCGAGGGCTTCACAGTGCTCATTCCCAGGGTAGATAGATGCAAAATAATCAGATTTGCTCCATTGTCCAAATTGATAATCCAACAGGCATCTCCTGAAGGTCATTATGCTAAACAGTATCTGTCCCTTGTTCCAGACTGTCTGGAGGAGGAGGAAGAGAGAAGGAAAAGAAAAACCAGCATATCAGTGGTGAGCTCATACATATTTTAGAATGATTCATTAAATTTTAAAAGGGAATTGGGGTTAACCTTAAAGTAGCTAGAAATTTTATAGAATCAGTATTCCTCATTTTCGGAACTTTCTGGTCATCAGTATTTTAGCATACAGCTTGCTGCTTTGTCTTGAAAGCCTTTTTCTTTTAGCTTCTGTAATGTATTGCACCCTCCCTTCTCCCCACACAGGCACAGAACCGACTGAGAGTCATAGGGATTAGAAAGACATGGATCAAAATGTCAGCTTTATTACTGATGAACTTTTGGAGGATAGCCCTTATGTGTGGGGCAACAACAGGCTTTCTTTTATAGCACCTCTGAATGAAGCAAAATGACCCACTGAGTTAAGGCCAGCTAGTGAAAGTGATCCAGCCCCAGGAGCAGAGCTGTCCACAGTCAGATCCCAACAAGAGTCCCGAAGGGGCTGAGATAGGCTTACCCACCTTCCCCCTACCTCACTGATTCCAGGGACGGTTGTCCCAAGGAAGAGGAAGTGAGGGGCAGAGAGAGGCCAGGAGCACTCTACTAATAAAGGCTCTTCAGCGTGGGTACGTGAAGAATAGGGAGTGAACGTTCTCCACCTGATAGCTTCTTCTAAATGATCACAAATAAAGCTATGCTGTAATTAAGCTAACTAAGTAATTATATCTAGAGAAATCCTGAAAGCAAAATTAGCAAGAGCTGACTAAGGATCCATCACCGCCAAGCATGCGTGGAAGCAGCAACCTCCAACTCAGTATGACACACAGTGTGATGTGTGTTGCTAATAATAAAGTACATACATTCACAAATGATGCCTGTTGTCTTTAGAAATTAGAACCTGTTAGAAGTTTTCCCTGTAATAACATTTTCCCTACTCACCTTATTTCAGATCAGCTTTCTTGAGTGACAGAAAAAGGGGAGGAATTACACATAGCATCCCAGAAATGACACACAGCTCAGTCTATCTTATCTGTGAAGCCACTCACAGGGAAGGATTTTTCATGGTAGCATTAATAGCTATGGCAGTGGTGAACTATTGAAATGCCTAGGAGTTGCGATTTTTATAGTTGTTTCTGCTTATTTTTTATTTTATCCAGGGATGAATTTGATTAAGAAGGTAATGGAGATTTTTTTTTCAGCACAAATGTCAACATAACACATGAGCAAGAGTGACCCTACACTTCTGGTTAATAATGACAGAAGAACTACAGTATCAGGTAAAAGCCAACTATGTAATCCAAGAGTGGTATTAATATCATTATAAAAACCTAATGCACAGAGTTCACATAAAATAATTTAAACAGTAAAATTGGGCAGTTTTTGTTTTATTCTCCTTTTGGACATTAGTTGCTCATAAGGAGTTGGGGGTTCAGATTCATTTTAAGTAGGATTCATTTTTAAATTAATTTTTAAAAGCAGACTAGGTATACATATTTATTTTTATTATAAAACAATCACTTCAAGATGTTTAATGGCTTATTGTTCATTTGCTTATAAAATGACCTTACGAAAATTTTATAAACAGAGATTCCCCCATAAAAGGCTTATGGTACTTTTCCCTTTGTGTTCCTGCTACCAACTCCCCAATTTGATGAGATTTGTCCAATTCTGAAAATACTGTATGTTATGCTTGCAAACTGCCAAGAAATAAAGTAGGAAAAATGAACCCTTTCTTCTGCCCTGAAGCCAACCTCCATCCTTCTACAACACTCTATCCTCTTAGGAAAGCTTTAGGTTGGCCAAGAACAAGATTTTTCCCTTAACAACAAATCAGTGCTGTTGCTAGGTGATTGTGACATAGGAAGAGTAACCTCCAATCAAAGAGAAGCCCCAAAAGGCTGATTGTGGCATGCCAATATAAATATGAGGGCTCCCCTGACCCCACCTTTAGGCCCTTCTCCTCTCCACTCTATTAAGGAGAACAACATCTACAATGGCCAGATCCATCACCAAAAAGAACAAGTGCTCCAGAGGACATCAAAGCCCAATCTCCAAAAAGAAATCACATTCCAGCACTGATTTTGGCCATAGAAATTATTCACTCTACATTAACAGGGTCCTAAAGGAAGTGGTTCCCCAGAGGGGCATATCATCTCGCACCGTGGACATCATGAACACCCTGATCGACGACATCTTTGAGCGCATTTCTATGGAAGCCTGCAGCCTGATGTGTTTCAGAAATCGCTGTACCCTCACCCCTGAAGATATCCAGAAGGCAGTGTATCTGCTGTTGCCTGGGAAACTAGCTAAGTATGCAGTGGCTTTTGGAAGTGAAGCTGTCCAAAGATATGTCCACTCCTAAACTCCATGTACCAGTATAATTAAATCTTGGGGAAAGTAAATCAAACTTACTACCCAAACGATCACTTCACACTGGAATTCCCTCTTCTTTTTTATAACATAGCGGTATTTCCTGGTATTTTCCCCAACCCCTCTTATCTCTAGAGGAGAATTACTCTCTTGCTATTTTACCTTATAATGCCTTGGCTAGTTAGGTTTTCCTGACACCTGTTCCCTGCAGTATCATTAACTATGTACAGGATGATTGAAGCTAGCTAGGTCACACTGACCTTGGATTTATGAAGGCAAACATTTTAATCGGGAGTATACCTGCACTGATAGATTTTTATCAAGAAAGTACTTTCTGGAGCAAACTCTATTCAACCAATTTAGTTCCTTAATGAATCTCTATACAGCATGTTAATGATTTCCTTTGTTTTAATTCTTATTTCCTGATTTTCAATAAGTTCAGTTCATAGCCATGTAAATTTTATCTTTACATATTTGTAACATAATAAGACCAACACCCAGGAACCTACTACTCAATTTATAAACTTTTTTTTTTTTTACAAATGTCATGTTTTGTTTACAAAACACTGGAAATGTTTCCCAGTCCCATTTCCCTATCCACTATCCTAAGTTTCGTTTCTCTCCCTTTCCCTTGCTTCTCTCTGTATTTTTTGTGAGTGTCTCTACATAATAAGTTGAATTTTGCTTATTTTGTAACATGGGGGTATACTATCTGTGTTTTTCTGTGCCTGCCTTTTTCTCTTAAAATTGTTTCTAAGATTTATACCTGTTGATATATATAGCTCTAGTTTGTTCTTTTCACTCCTAGGCTGTATAATATTCCATAGTGTGAATATACCACATTTTGCTTATCCCTCCTCTCTTGATGGACGTGTTGTTTGTTTTCAATTTTTCCTATTAATGAACAATGCTGCTATAATGATGAGTTCCAACAACAGCTAAGACTGATAGAGCATTTTCTATAAGCCCAGCATTTTACATAAATTAACTTATTGAACCCCTACAACCTTGTGATAATTAAATAATTCTCCCGTCCTACAGATGAGGAAAATGAAGCACAGAGCAATAAGCTACTTGTCTGTGGTCACACGCCCATGTCAGTGGCGGAGCTGAGATTTGACCAGGTTCATGGCATCCACTGTGGGCACGTATTGTCTGCTGTGAGCATTCTTGGACATGTATCTTCTGGTAAAAACGCACAAGAATTTTTCTAGTTAAAATACCTAACGATGAAATTGCTGGGTCATTGACGTGCTCATATTCAACTTAGTAGATATTACTGGACTGTCTTCCAAAGTGTTTGTACCAACTGACATTTGCAGTAAATGAGAGCATTTTGGATTCTTTCGGTTACGAGGAACATATCACTTACATTTCTTCAAGGAAAGGGGGTGTCTTGTATGTAAATACTAGGATGGGAACTGAGACTATTCTAGGTGTCTCACTCTTAGGACCCGCTCTGTCTCTTCTGGGTTTCTCCCTTCTAAATGCTTCCTTCTGAGAGTTGCCGGCAGGTCCATCGGATTCCACTTCCGTGAAAACCACAATACGATTTTTTTTTTTTAAGATTTATTTATTTATCTGAGAGAGAGAATGAGATAGAGAGAGAGAGCATGAGAGGGGGGAGGGTCAGAGGGAGAAGCAGACTTCCCGCTGAGCAGGGAGCCCGATGTGGGACTCGATCCCAGGACTCCAGGATCATGACCTGAGCGGAAGGCAGTCGCTCAACCGACTGAGCCACCCAGGCGCCCCCCACAATACGATTTTACCACAATAAAAAATGGCTTAAAAATTTTTAAGTGGGTATTTTAAACACATGCATTGATATAATCAGACTTGAAACTACCTTATTTGAGTCGGGCCCAGACAGAGGTTGCCAGGCACGCTGAAGACTGGCTAAGCATGATTGTATAGTTGCCCACAACTGCCACACTGCCGTGGGTTGACCCCAGAAGGGCTTCAAAGGTCTACTAGGGGTCAATAAATTACAGCCATTGGGCCAAGTCTGGAAACAGCTCTTTTTTATATGGTCCCACAAGCTGAGAAGGTTTTTAAATTTTTATAGGGATATTTTAAAAGAAAAAACCAAGAATATTGAACAAGCCTAATGTAAACCACAAAGCCTAAAATATTTATTGTCTGGCTCTTTACAGAAAAAGTCTCCACCTGTGGTCTATACAGTGCTGCCTCTTTCACAGAGTTTGTGATAAGGCAGGTTTTCTAAGGCTTTTCTTGAGACACACATGTTCTGTATAAAAAGCTTACAAATATGAAAAGTTCATGGTTGGCTTTTCAAATCATGGCAGTTAGGATAGTACCTACAAATGGTACTCAGCAATTAGGGCAGTGGAATAACCCTTCACAAAAACAGTCTTATTATAAATTGAGGTGTTACAGGTGGGTTAAGGGAACTAGAAGTTTCTTTATATGTTATTCTCTCTACTTCTGTTTTTGAAATATTTTAATAGAATTTCAAAATAAGATCAAGATTCTTAAAAAAAAAAACCTCTCTGGCATCGGTTTCAAGTCTGATTATATAAATCTATGTATGTAAAACTACCCACATTTTCAAAAGTTTTAACCATTTTTTATTGTGGTCGACATCTGTTATTTTCTGTTTACTGTTTTATATATGTATTATATATTATAGGCATCCTAATGGATATGAAGTGGTTTTGATTTGCATTTCCTTAATAATGAGCGATGTTGAGCATCTTTTCATGTGCTCACTGGCCAGTTGTACTTTTTCTTTTTTTTTTTAAAGGTTTTATTTATTTATTTGAGAGAGAGAGAGAGCATAGAAGGGGGAGGGGTAGAAGGAGAAGGAGAAGCAGACTCCCCACTGAGCAGGGAGCCCAACATAGGGCTCCATCCCAGGACCCTGGGATCATGACCTGAGCCAAAGGCAGATGCTTAACCAACTGAGCCACCCAGGTGCCCTGTACTTCTTCTTTAGATAAATATCTTTTGCTCACTTTTAAATTGGCTTTTCTTGTTGTTGAGTTGAAGGAGTTCTTTATATATTCTGGATATTAATCCCTTCCCAGATATATGATTTGTAAATATGCCACTTAATATTTTTATTGCTCCTTTATGAGAAATTATTTGCAACAACATTTATATATATTTTTTAAATTTTGGAATCAATTCATAAAGTCAACATAGCTTCTAAAATTTGAAAATAGTCTCACACTAGCTAACACATTAAGAAAGGGTCAAAATACTCAATGCATAATTTTGACATCAATAGGACCATTTCACCATTTTTTCAGTCTTGGACCTAGTTACCTGAGACAGTTAAATGACAGGAAGACAAAAAGTAGTACACACTGATAGTAGTCCTCCAGTATCCTACTTCTCAGAAACAGGATCCCAATTTTTAACTGATCTCATGGCCACCTAGGACAAAGGCTTCATTTCCAATCCTTCCTTTGACTAGTTGTGTCCATGTGACCAAGTGCGGATGAATGGGAAGGTATTTACAACTTCTGAAAAGTTTCCTTAAATACCAGCAGAGTGCACTTTTCCCTTTTCCTCTTTCCTGCTGACTGGACTGAGGATGTGAAAGCTGGAGCTGGAGCAGCCACCTTAAACTAGGAGTTGAAACCTGTATATTGAGGATGATAGAGCAGCAAAGTAAAAGAGGTTTGGTCTCTGATGACTGAACTACCATGCAGCCCAGGACTGCTTATGTTTACATGAGAGAGAAATAAATTTCTAACTTGTTTCAGCCAGTATTATTTTGGGTTTCTCTCACTCATAGTCAAATCTAATTCTAATGTAGACATCCAGAAGATTACTGATGGCTAAACAATGTGGTTAGTCTCAAAATGATTCTACACTTATTAAATAAAAACATAATAATCTATAAATAGAGGATGATGAATGTCTCATGTATTTACCAGAAGATATTTTTTTGAAATGAAATCTCATGCTATTTAGCACCTCTTTTCTCAGAGATGCGTAATGCAGGTGGCCAAAGCTTGCTTGCTTGTTAGTCTGTTGGATACCTGATGGATTTTGAAACACTACTTAAAATACAAAAATAGTAAGAGATTCAAATAAGATAGGAAAGAGAATTTCCAACTAAGGCAACGTGACCAACATACCAATTATGTGGTAATTTGAAGCTAGTGATATACAGTATCCTAAAAGATGTCTTACCCCACCAAGAAAGAATAGTGCCAATTTTATGCTACAAATTATCCAAATAATAAAATTCTAGCAAACGTAGATTATCTTTCTAGGTTATCCTTAGATATCCTTATCATTAGATAAACTTATTTCTGAGTTTAGAACCTTGTCTTGGAATTGAATAATATAATCTCATATAAACATATGCTGTCACTCTATTTAAAGTCTTGCTGGGCACACTGCTAGCTTGTTCCTGTATGAACTAACTATGTTGGAAATTACTGGAGAATAGAAAAGTACCATTAAGTATAATACCTTGCATATGGCACTTACAGTTCATTTATATGTTCACAGAAGCACCTCCTTCGCAATAGATGCTGAGAAAACAAAGACAAGGTCCATGCCTTTAAAAGCTTAGAATTGTACAGAACAACAAACTGGAACTAAAATAAATTATTGAGAACAGCTGACAGCATTAAATCCAGGCTGTGAGCTAGGCATTATTCTAAGTACTCCATCTATGTCAACTCAATACAAAAAGCCCAAGACAACCACATGAGGCACCATTAACATTTTACAGTCAGGAAAACTGAGGCATTAAATAGGCAAAGAAACTTGCCAGAGGTCACATAGCTAGTAATAAATGTGATTAAACCCACTTACTCTGGCTCTAGAACCTGTAACTTAAAGCACACTGCATGCTACATCTCACATGGAGAAAGACAGGTGGAAGACCAATGTGGCCCATGGGAGGGGCATCTAACCCAGAACAGAAAGAGGTCTTACAGGACACAACACCCGCCCTCAGTCTTGAAGTATGAGTAGGAAATGCACATAAGGCAGAGGGATAATATTTAC